CAGATCTGGACGGCGTGAAAGCGGGTCGGCAATGTTTTTCTTTCCTGGTTTGTGAAAGACCGTAAAGTCATAGTCAGCTAAAAACTCTACCCATCTTGCCTCACGCTTGGTGAGAGTCGGTTTGGTTCGTAAATAGACAACACCCATATTATCAGTCATCAGGTCAAAGTGGCGGAATAGATAGATTCTCCAGCACTTTAATGCAAATACCACAGCCAACGTTTCCCTCTCGGCCGCAGTATAGTTGCGTTCTGCAGCTGACAGTTTCCGACTACAATAGGCTACGGGATGCAAATCCATATCTTCTCCCTGCTGCAGGAGCACACCCGCCACGGCAAAGTCACTTGCGTCAGTTTCTACCATGAAGCTTTTCTCAACATCGGCCAGTTGCAACACTGGCGCCTCGAGTAATGCTGATTTTAGAGACTCGAATGCCTTCTGTCTAGCAGCGCTCCATTCAAAGCGTGAATTTTTTCCGGTGATTTCTTCTAATGGACGAGAGATGGTCGAGTGTCGGTCTATGAACCTTCGGAAATAGTTTGCAAAGCCAAGAAACTTCCTCACATCAGTTACTGACGACGGAGTTGGCCATGTTTCCACAGCACTTATCTTCTTGGGATCAGGGGAAATTGATGTGCCGTTGATTTTATGCCCCAAGAAGAGAACTTCTCTCACGCCGAATTCGCATTTAGACTGTTTGCAATACAGCTCACTATTTCTAAGTGTTTCTAGAACTGTTTGAAGATGATGCTGATGATCTTCCCAGGTCTTGCTGAAAACTAGAATGTCATCCAAGAATACTACAACGAATTTTCGGAGATGCGGTTGCAGAATAGAGTTCATGAGTGACTGAAAGGTGGCCGGGGCATTAGTCAGCCCGAATCCCATGACTCTAAATTGGAAGTGGCCGAACGGCGTGTTAATGGCCGTCTTAGAAACATCCGAGTCTTGAATTCTGATTTGATTGTAGCCTGACCGCAAGTCCAACTTGGAGAAATATGCACTGCCCTGGATCGTGTCGAATAAGTCATCAATATTAGGAAGACAAGCTTTGTTTTTGATCGTAATTCTATTCAATTCTCGCCAATCGCACACCATTCTCAGAGTACCATCCGACTTTTTCACAAAAAACACAGGTGCACCGTATGGCGACTTACTTGGCTCAATGAATCCCTTCTCAAGTAATTCTGATAGCTGTGACTGGAGCTCGTCCATCTCTGGTTTCGGCAGGCGGTAGGCGGGTCGAGACGGTGGTCTGGCTCCATCTTCTATCTGGATTTCATGGTCGACTGGTCTCTTCGGTGGAAGCTCATTCGGCAGCTCGTCTGGAAATAAATCCTGGTACCTCTTGAGCAGGTTCTGGATGTCTTGTTGCTCTGATTCCTGGAGTTGTGGCCCGGAACGATTCTCCTCGTTTGCAGCAGTGACCCATGCAAGAAACCCCTCGGCTCCACTCCTCAGGGCATGACGAGCTTGTCGGCCACTGATAAACATGCTTTCCACAGATGGCCGGTCGGCTGTCGGCGGGTTAGCTGAAGGCAATTTGGCAACAAAGGGCTCACCGTCCAACTGAACTTCGTTCGTACGGAAGTTGATGCTGGGGTTGTTCCTTGTAAGCCACGGCTTGCCAAGAATAGCGTCGTAGCGAGTCAGGGGATACACAGTAAAGTGCTGTTCCTCACTGAAGCCCCCGACTGTCACCCTTAGCGTGCGTGTGCAAATCTGCGGGACCTCGCTGGTCGAGCCGTCCGCCAATGTTACGCTCAGCACTGCTGAGCTTGCATCCGTGTCAAGATGATGCTTTCGAACAAAACTGTCTGCAATGAAGTCATGCGTCGAACCGGAATCTATCAGCATCACTGCACGGCGACCGCCGATTCTTCCCTGTATGCGCAGTAGGTCGTGTTCAGGTTCATTGCCGACGCTGACGTTGCTGACATGACACCTTTCTGCAACGGGACAATTTCCTACAGCTATGGGTGTCTCCGGCTCCGTAGGTTCCTGGAGAGCAACGTCTTCAACCTCCAGAGCTCCGAACCGGTTAGCGACTGGTATCGGCGTGGGCGCTTGGGTCGTCGCCAGTAAGCGCACCCCCTTTCTTACTGGCGACCAGCGTTTGGGTAGCGCTGTCCACCCTCAGTACAGTCTTTAGCGAGGTGGCCTGGCTTCCTGCAAGCAAAGCAGTGTCCCATTGCTCGCAGTTGGACACGCTCTTGGTCCGTCAGCTTGCGGAGGCCCTGACCACGGAAGCTGGGCACGGAACGCGACTCTCTACTGGCTGGTGGCCCCGACGCCGGTGGCCCTGACGACTGCTCCACGGTGTTTGCTGCCATGACAGCTTGCTCCAGGGTACGTGGATGCTCACGCATGACCTGTCGCTGGATGTGCGGCACTAGACCCCTGACGAACAGCAGCGCTCTGGTGTGGTGGTCGATTTCCGGCACTTGCAGGCTGAGGCGAGTGAAAGCAGCAATGTATGCGTCCAGCGACCCGCGCTGCGCTGCGGAAATTAGTCCCATACGCGATGTTTCCTCGTTGTGCCGTGGTCCGTACACATCGCCAAGTGCCGCTTTCAGAGCAGGCCAGTCGGAAAACACTTGGTTAGCTTCCAATGCCGCTATCAACCAAAGACGAGCGTTTCCAGTCAAAAATCCTGCCGCGTAGTCGACCCTCTGTGCCGCATTTGGGAGTGCCAACGACCGTAGGGCCATGTCCATTGCAAACGTCCATTCTTTGAATGTAGCGGAATCTCCTCCAAACACAGGCGGCTCTTTCGTAAGGCGGTGTGTTGGCTCCCACGGTTCCGAGTTCGGATGTATCGTTCGGTTTCCTTGGCTAACACGCTGAGCGGTCTTGATATCGTTTATCAGCCGAACGACGAGTACGAGGAGCGTAAGCAGAGCGACCAGAACACCTGCCAAAAGCAGAGTAGTAACCATCCTCTGCTACCAGTGTAACAGGTTTAATCAAACTTGAAAAGTAAGAGGCCTGGTTGAGCGTGCCTCGACCAGTTATATGCAAAATGTGATAGTATACATGTGGCAATGGCGCCAATGAAGGTGCTAATAGACAGGCGTAAGACGCATGAGGTGCGAGGGAGTGTAAAGTTATAGAGAACAGGGGAAAACTGTTACATCCAGGGCAAGCCGCCTCTCCTCCTTCATCGATGCTACATTGCTACTCAGCTTAGCAGCAAGTGCGAAGCTCGATGACACCAACGTGCGAGCCGACCCGGTGTCCAACATGGCGCAGAGCTCCTCTAGGTCGTCATCATCCTTGCCAGCAAACGGCTGGACAAGATTACTAAACGTTGTTGACGTGATTCGCTTGAGTATTCCAGAAACTCACGGCGCGAATTCAAGTCTCACGAAAATAAATAAAACACAGAATATAGAACAAGGACAATGGAAGCGGACTACAAAGCTGCAATGCGGTAAGAGGCAAGACACACTGATGACAGATGTCACCAGAACAAATACATATCGTAATGTTCGTCTTTGTCTCTACACACACATTGTATCGTCACACTACACGCATTAATTTTGTCAAATTGTCACACCCCACCTTTGGATGCCCGGTGGGTCCAATCTCCGGCGTTTGACCAAGTGCTTATGGATAATAATAATTATTCCAATAATATCTCATGTGATATGCAAGTGCACCATACCCGTCCAGATTTGGTGTTGCGGTCCAGCACAGATGCTACTGATGGATGTCGTTCCCTTGGATCATAAAGGTGCCCACAAAACTCTACGAAAAGCTCACAAAGTATGCTCCCCTTTGCCAAGAGCTGCGGCATATCTGGCATGTGGATGATGTCCGGGTTGTGCCCCTGGTAGTTGAAGCGCTTGGTGGTCTGACTGGTGTGTCACTTTCAGACTTTGTGTTGGCATTGGCAGGCACTCTGCGCATTGAAAAAGCCCAGCCAAATGCTATCCTGGGCACATCGAACACTGCAAAGTCGTTCCTTGGCATACGTCATTAGGCTCCTCATGATACGGTTCTGGTTAGTCCGTACACACTTCTAGCAACGCATTTGTTTTGGCAGCCGTGAATGTGCAGCATGATGACTATCGCAACCTGATTAATCCCTTGCCGTTTCGGTATGCCGTGGATTTCTTTTCTTCCTCCTTTTGCTGTTTTTGCTATTGTTTTTACAATCCACTTGGGTTTCATTTTGTTGGCCATCTTTCTAATTTTGTCTCATCCCGCTTAGTCTCTTTTAGCCTGGTGATGGGGTTCTTACCTCACATTGTCATGACAACGTGAGTGAAAATAATAAAGCCAATTTAGTAATATAAACAGGTGGCATATTGCCCGCATAAACAAAACATATGGTATCATGCATCTGTCCATGATCGTTAACCAGAGAGCGTTAACCAGAGTAGTTTGTTGGTGGAGCGATTGATCGTAACACCGTGAATTTTTACTCGAACCTCTCAATGAAAATATATGGGTCGAAGAGAAAGCTCTCAGCTTGCGATTGCAAAAATTGCCAAAGCGATAGGGTAAATATTCATAGTTATAGTTATGGCACTCGACAGACAAGCAATACCAGACAAGCAATACCAGACAAGCAATACCAGACAAGCAATACCAGACAAGCAATACCAGCCGAGCCAACGGCTTTTGAAACGAATTATACTCCTGTGTGCTGCAATTCTTAGACACTGCTGAGACTCAGTTGTTCCCTGAGGTTTTGCGTCCAATGTGCAAGTCTGATTCTTTGTTGCGTGTTCTTGTCTTTGTTTGGAACTGTCCAGTCATACCGTGTCCACATGTCTACAGACACAATGGAACCGAGTGTGTGAAGTGTTCTTGCGATGCAAACGGAGCGAGGAGCTGCGACCCTAACAGTGGAGCGTGTCTTTGCAGAGACCACGTAAATGGCACACGCTGTGATGTGTGCTCTGATGGCAGTTACATAGCATCTACTCATCTAGACTCCTGCACCCCATGTGCATGTGTGGCTAACACTACTCAAGCCAATAATACATGTGACATGAATAGTGGTATTTGTAATTGCCTGGACAAATATTCCGGTCGCAGATGTCAGTCTTGTAGTCTGGGCCACTACCAATCAGGAAAGGACTGCATACCTTGTGCGTGTAGCAGTACACGTGCCCGTGGCAACCACTGTTACATTACTACTGGACAGTGCAGATGCAAACCTGGGTATGGTGGAAGGCAATGCTATGGGTGTGCAAAGGGTTACTTCATACCAGATACTACACTGGCAAAGCCACCATGTGTGGTATTTGACCCCAACTCGGATTGCCAAGGTAAACTTTTTTGTTTGTTTGAATTCATGTTGATTTGTGTCCACAGCTCCCCGCACAGAGTTCTTAACCTACCAGTTAAGAGATCATGTCTGCGAATTCAAGCTTAAGTGTCAACTGAGCAGGTGATGTGGTGACAGGAATCCTAGTAGTGCTAGAACAAGTGTGCAGTGCGCAGTCACACCATGACACAAAAACAACAATACTTGGTCCGGCTCATCGCAAATGTCGCTCATCTCCCACGCACCTTTTGACAGGTAAAACCCAGTCCGATCACGATATCTAACTTACTTTTGCTTGGGAGGTTGTGATGGCAAGATCAAAGGAGGCACCAAAGAAAAATGATCGCGACTAGCACTTTGAATCGCGATGTGTTTGACTTTTTTGGGAAGTGGGAATCTGGCCATTCACTGTCTGTGTTGCCAAAAGCCAAGCGCGCAGCGACCCGAAGACCGGAACTGTGGCAGGGGCAACTGACATCCTGGAGAGCGTGACAGGCATGCGTGCACGGCAGAGGAGTACGAGCCGCATGAGCGTCATGCTGAAGAAGAAAGGTGTTTTTGATGCGATGCGCCCGGCCGACGGTTGTTGTTCCTTGCTTGGTGGACCTAGCAGCAGCGTCACAAGAGTCGTGGTCAGCGTATCCAGCGGACCGTATGACAGCTGTCTGGAGAGGCCGTATGCCTCGAAGGCTTTGTTGAAACACGCTGTGGAGACACACAGGTCACACTGCCCACGGTTCCTTCAAGCACCGAAGTGACAGCCACAGCTGTTCCTTTCCCATTGCTGCCATACGACAGCCTGAGTCTGAGTGAGAAAGCAAGAGATACTCCGTCTACACCAGCAGCTAGACACCAGCAAATGTCAGCTCGTGTAACGGCGCGGCAGCTCGAGTGATGCAGAGTTGGATGAACTCTGGACCTGTAAGAGTGTGAGTGCAAGAACGCGCTCCTTCGCGGATTTATTTCGTGCATTTTGCTTACCTTGCTTCCTTTCTTCGACTCGCTTCACCTGATTCCTTTGCTGAAATTTTTTCTTGTGGCGGAGAGTATTCTTGTATCATACTTCCTCACTATGCCTACTGGAAATTTCACAGAGCGGTAAAAAAAACTCCTGTTCTTAGTGGCGATAGATAAGCGACAATTGCGATGAGCCGGACCAAGTACCTAATCGGTTTAAACGTCATTTTCTTGTGACTTTCATCGCAAATCTCTTGTCACCATATGATATTATCAAAAGTGCATAAACCAGAGAATGCACATGTGGTTAAAGGGTCAGTGCGCGTCACGCTGCCTTCATTACGTAACTTGCCTTCGTCACACTCTGAAAGGATGCACTCAAGCCCACAGTTTCTTGTCGAGATCATCTGAGCCAGAGCAAGTGAAAAGGGACGTTATCCCGATTTTGTGCGTTTTGAGTTATCAACAGATTCTTGTAGCCAGAAGATGTACGAATCACATGAAAAAAACGATTGAAAATCGATACACGGATAGTAAAGTTACGGGCATTTGTTCCACACTATTTCCCTAAAAACATCGCACATTATCATGTTCAATCTTCATGCTGTGTTGATATTGTCTTCGTACACACAGTTCATTACCTATGTAATGGATCTTGCCATGTATCGACTTGATGATGGACCAGGTCCGAAACCGTGTGGTAATAAAAATTTCTAATCGCATTTTAAAAGAGACCTTTATTCGAGGTCAAGAGATAAGTTTCATAAATCAAAACTCCAGTGGAGCACACTGCTTGTTTACGTAAACCAGAACTCCCGTAACTCCGCCTTGGATCGCTGTCAGTATTTTTAACCGAGTAGGTTCTTATCCCGATAGACATTTTTGATCATGCAAGTTGCCAGCGGTGCAGCCGAGTCACACCAGGTTGTGTTTGAAAAGTTTGCACTGTACATTGGTAGGGATACATGAGTAGTACGGTCTCCAAAGGGCTCAAAGCAACATGCATATTATAACAGTAGGCAAGCAGGATGCAAACAGACGGACGAGGGTCCGCACCTGAAAAATACCACCATACTCATCCAGGACTTTCTTTTCCCTCTCATTTAGTGGACACAAGCAAACAGACAAACCCATTTACAATGCGGAAAGGGGGTGTGTCAACTGACAGATGCTCTATTCAGTTGCTATTCACCCTCGAGTGGATAGCAAGTGAATAGAGCGGTTGTCAGTGGACACCACCCCCCCCCCCCCCTCTATACAATGCAGTTGCGTGGTGTCCACCACTTTTTTATACTGATTTGTAATGTAACTGGCATGTAACTGTTATAATTCAAGAAACAGCAGGAGATAGGAGATAGCCAGAAAATTTACTAAGGGGCCATCCGTAAATATCGATCTTTTTCACGAAGAGAAAAGGTTTCGTTCATGGGGGGGGGGGGTTGAGGAGAGTTTCGTTATGAAAAATATATCGATAGTTGAAACATCAGTCCATTCTACCTGTCAAGTCAATAATGTTTTTTTGTTCAAGAGGGAGTGGGGGGTGAGGGGAGGGTCATAACTAAACTTTTTCGTTTCGTGAAAATTATCATTAATTTCGGATGGCCCCAAAATATGTCCAATTTCCCTGGGCTGTGATATTTGTGCCATTTTCATTTCGCTCTGCAGAGTGCCATTGTTCTCCGTTCGGATCAACGGACAGCACCTGTGCTAATGGAACAGGAATTTGTCAATGCAAGCCAGGGTACACTGGAGAGAAGTGTGACTCTTGCACCAGTGCTAGCCAGTTCCACTCTTCAACTAGCGGTTGCAAAAGTACGAATGGCATGCACTGCATCATTATGAGTGTGTTGTGTGATTTGCTACGTGGTCTGTGTGGTAGTCATGCACTGTGCATCACAGCTGTAGTACTACGGAAAGAATAGACAACCAGCCAGTGTGTCTCTTAGATTCTTCATCTGTAAAACCAGCTCAACAGCAGCATATGGCCAAGAGCATTTCGCAATGCACTGTTACCATGACTGTGCACATCAGTACTACAGCCGTGATGTACAATGCATGACTACCACAGTCTGGTGGGTCGCAAAGCTTTGAGGCAGCCTTTTTCACCACCAGTGAGCAAGTCTCTGCTGCTCTTGTTCTGCCACTGGCTTGTCGCCTGTCTAGTTCACCAGCTCAATTTCACTCAACCAAATTATTTCTAGATCTCCCTGTAAAAAGGCGTTAACACATGTTGGGAATTGCCTAGGAAAACGAGAACATTGTTAAGAGAGCATGGCTGACAATACAAAGTGTGTGTGCAAGTCAATGTCTCCGATTTCGCTCAAAATGTGCAGGTATGTTCCCTTTGGGGTGTAGATCGATTGTGCAAAGCCCTTGATCTGGGGTTTTCTTGAAATAAACGGTTTTGAATTTTTCCACTCGACCATGCTGAAATACAGTCAAAGTCATACCTGCGCAGGAAGGCTCGCCCTTCCGCGACGTCTCCTCAGCAATTTCTACTCCAACACTACTCCCTATGCCACAGAACAAAGTGTATCGTTGACTCTGACAAGGAAAAGCAGGGATCACTTGTCACTCCAAACGACAAGCTTCTCCTTGCGCCACCAACAGTTTTTGGTGCCACCGTTGATGCACCAGTTCTGAAGTCTCCATTGTGAAAGAGTTAAGATAGCCCGTCGCTCTAGCCATATACTATGTATAAGGCATACCCTGAGCTGGAGTGTATATGGAAAATATACACCAAATACAAACCGAGGTCGAAGGCCGAGGTTTGTTTGATGGTGTATATGTGAAACTCAGACTTGTAACAAAGCTTCCAAACTCTCTCTTGTGTATATTTTCTTGTAACAAAGCTTCCAAACTCTCTCTTGTGTATATTTTCCATATACACTCCAGCGAAGGGTATATCCGACTTATACCTACCTCAGTATGAATCCTAAAAAGGAGTATAAAAGCCCTGGCCAGCGGAAACCAGCACTTGTGTACTTGATATCAATCATCAAAATATGACGTCAAAGTTTGGGACGTGAAGTGAGCTGGCTTTTGAAGATTAATTTTCAATCGAGTGGATGTCTTTGTTGGCAAAGGGGTTTCAAGTGTCTTCAAATGAGTCTGGTCAATTGATTTCAGTGCTAGGTGAGAGCTTGTCACACGGATGGTTGAGTTTAGACTCAGCAATGGCGTCAGGTGTCGCGACAAGGTCCAGAGTTGTCAGCGTGAGACTCCCCTTGCGAAGCGACGCTGAAAGTTAGTTCGCGATCGAAAGTATTTCTTTCTTTGCCTGGTGATGACAGTCAATTGTTTTCTGGTTAAAACTTGGATTTGGAGAGTTTACATTTCATTGCTATCAGGTCCGCCCTCATTTCCCTTGTGCGGCGCTGATGAGATCACAACGGACGAAACTGTTCTGTTCGTAGATTGAATCTGTATACCCAATACTGTGTTCCGAACTTGTCCTTTCACTTTTCCACGCACTTTGGATTAGACTGGTGCAGACCAATTTGCCAACTAATCTTCTTCGTTTGTGCTGCTCTCTGCTCAGCCCTGTTTCGTTTAATTCCGTCGCCAACCAGTGCCTCATTGGTCCAAGGGAATGTAGTGAATCTCAGACACCCCTTTGTGTTCGGTTCTAAGTTCACCTCATATAACCAAGTGACGGTAAGCTGATATTCACCTATGATACTTAGGTGCACAACACATACGTGTCAGTTCCTGAGCACTTCCGGAGCACTGTTTATTTCGCTTCATGATCTTCTGTCTTCCCGTCATTTTGTTTCCTTTCCTTCTTTGTTTCTTGCGTTCCATATTCGCCTCTGTGCTTTTGCGCCCAGTTCCTATTTAATAATAATAATAATAGTACAGCACGCATATAGCTCATATGAAAAATCAAATGAGGGTCATGCATCTGTCGACAACGTCGAGCCAGTGCGTTCTGTCTGAGGCAAGTTGCTCCGCTTCCAAAAGAGACATATTGAGAAGTAAAAGGTCATTCCTAATGTTGTCTACCCATCTGGTCACTGGGCGACCTCTGGGCTTCTTTATATCTGTTATATTCATTGCCATGTGAAGGGCTTTGTAGGACACAGCGTCCTTCCCTTCACGAATGACATGTCCAAACCATAATAAGCGCCGGCGTCTACAGACTGCACTTATTGGGCATTGAGCAGTTTTAGCATAAAGAGCATTATTCGAAATTTTATTGGGAAAGATGATTCCAAGTATGTATCTGAGTTTACGGCGGTGCCATACATCAATTTTGCTTTCTAAGGCTTTTGTTAGAGTCCATAGTGCGCAGTTATATAGGAGAACTGGCAAAATGAGACAGTTGAACATGCTTAAGCGGGACTGCTGGGTATGGCGTTTCCATGATACACTGGAAAATGCCCGGTTCGCTGCTATGATACGTGCATCAATGTCCTCCGCTGACCCCAGACGAGAACCCAACAGTTTGACCGACCTCCAGGAGGAATCTGACTTTGTAGCTGTTACAAATTGTGTTTTGCTGATGTTTAGTTTTAAGTTGTCTTCTGCGAAGATGGGTTCGCATTTCTCTACGGTTGCTTCAACTGCTGTCCGGCTGTGGTCATGCACTGTTGTATCATCTGCATACAGGGTGAACTTAGTAGGTAGATTGACTTGTTCTGGGCAGGCTTCTCTGATCCTCTGCATTGCACCTTCTGCGTAGACAATATACATAAGGGGTGACAGGGGGTCCCCCTGCACCACTCCAACATTAGTTGGAAATGACTGACTGACTGAGCTGCTTTCCCAGCTTCACGCAAGCAGAGGTTTCGGAGACTAGTTGCTGAATAGTGCTAACATGTGCACCTGCCGAAGCCAGACGGTCAACAGCAGTCTGCCTGATTATTGTATCAAATGCGCCACTGAAATCTAAAAGCGCCGCTGAGTAACTCCAGTCTCCTAGCAAGGCCCTCTCGCACATCATTCTTGTGAAGAATACTCCGTCCGCAGTTGACCGCCGAGGGCGGAAGCCAGCCTGGCTTTCAGGCACAAAGGAGTCCACGAATGTAGTGCAGCGCTGTGTGAGAATACGGGGCAGGACCTTTCTGATCACCGACAGAAGCATAACTGGTCGGTAACTTTTGGGGAAGCCGGGAGGCTTATTTGGCTTATATATGGGCACGATCAAACCGCGTCTGAGGTCTTCTGGACAATACTTTGCCAGTTGAACAGCGTTGAAGAATGTTGTTAACCAAGTGGTGATTGCATCTTTACCGGCCTGCAGCAAAACAGCGGAAACTCCATCCTGTCCAACAGCACCACCCGGTTTTTGCCGTGAGATTGCTGCTCGAACTTCTTCCTGAGTAAATGGCTCCTCATCAGGTGTTACCTCTCCATCTGCTGGGTGGTCGACTGCAGCAGGGACGTCATCGCGATGGAATACGGACAAGTAATACTTGCGGAATTCATCGAGATTCCATTGGACGTCCGCCATGATTTCACCATCTTTGTTTGCAAGTCTGACAGGTGGCTGGCTGACTGAGGAACGAAGTTGGCGGATGTTACGAATTGCATTGTAGTATGACCGTGCGTCGGGCCGTAATGCATCTGCTTCTGTTGCTTTCTCCTGCCAAAATTGGTCACCCTCCTTTCGTAATATTGATCGTATTTTATGCAGTATTTGATTGCGTTCTCTTGCTAGCTGTTGCCGTCTTTCAGGATCACGTTCCGCATCCTTCTCAATGTGAAGCTCTTTCTGCCGTTGCGACAGCGTAGACACTTCAGTACTCATGCTGCGGACCGACTTGTGTCCAACCTTTGCCCTCCCAAATGCACCTAGAGCTGCACCATGCACAACCGTCACAAAGCCATCCCACAGGTTATCAATAACTTGAGGCGATACTTGGGAGAGCTGGATCTCCGGAAGATTTTTAAGTAGTGCTGACTGATAGAGTTTCCTGGTTATCTCTGTAGGTTGGTTGTATTTGGAGAAGCATCGCTCCTTAGACTTTGGCGCAGGCTTCGCTGGTCCAAATGAGAGACGAAAGTCGGCAATTACCGGATGATGATCCGATCTGGTGCGGAATCCTCCATATGATCTTGCATTGGTCACTGATGTTAGTCCACCAGTCTTCACTGCGATGAAATCAATCATATTCCGCACCGCACGGCCGTCAGAGTATGTCAATCCATCTGCAAACCATGTGGAGCGATGCTGTAATTTGTGCTTGAACAGAGTGTTGCAAAGCACCAGCCCATGCTCACCACACAGGTCTAAGAGTCTATCACCATTGGCATTGTTAGATGTATGTTTGGAGTAAGAACCTACTGGGCCACTTCTCCTTCCGACCGAGCTTCCTACTTTGGCGTTAAAATCTCCAAGTATCCACAGTTCATCTCTCCGTTTCACTTGGCCTGCAATGGAACTCAGGACGGAGTAGAAGCTGTCAGCTTCAGCAGGATATTTTGTAGAGCGCTGCAGGGTTGGAGCATAGCAGCACACGACGGTAACTGTTCTGCTGTCCCTGCGCGGATTTATAATGTGCGATCGATTTATAATGTGCGAAGTTAAATAAACACAAACAAAGAAGATACATGGTCATATTCCACGAAGAATGAACAGGCTTGTGAGGTCAAAAAATCGAGCCAGACTTGTCTGCAATTCCCAATCAAGTGAGATGATTCCAGGCAGGAAGTGAAAGAGGGAAAGCTCTATGTTCTCGAAAGAGCCATTTACAGCATCAGAAGTCAGACGTGCAGCAGTTTTTCATCTCTGCTTTATATCACATATCTAATTGTTTGTGTTGATTGTTAGAAAAGTAGAGAATAGAGAAGATTGAGGATATGTAGCGACAACATAGAAACATATCATACTCGTCTTTCACCAACAATCATGGTTTTTGACCCTCAATACAAAATGGAGCCATTGGATATTGCCGTCCTTGGGCAACATGAGGAACGCGCAACGAAGCTGAGATGAGCATGAGCTATGTCCCACAGCAACATAGAATGCAGAAGGTTACTGGATGCTGACGAGACTAGTAAGACAATTGGACATACCGGCCGTACTACAACTCGACAACACAAAGCAACATGCTCATGCTCATCTTTGCTACGTTTTCCTTCCCCTCATTGCACCTTTCCTAACCTGAGTTCCACTAGTTGAAGGTTGCTGGCTTGCGCCTCTTAGATGGGTAAGAACTAGTTGTCAGATTGTTGAATGTCTCACTATCCTTGTCAGTTGTGTGCCTTGTCGTCGCACTATCTGATTATTATATTAGTACCTTGGTGGATTGTCAGTCCCAACCCGTAACGTATTGGTCCGTTGTTATCCCTACATGTACTACATGTATTAGATCAACATCCGAGTTTTAAGCATCGTTATGCCGCGCAAAAACCGCACAACAATAAACAAGGACAACGATAATGACACTAATATTAGGAAGTGGAATGGCACTGAAGGTTATCTATTCTATAATTTAAATAGAATTATATAATTCTCCTGAGAACGAGTTATGCAGCAACTATCCACGACTGTAACAAGATGATAAACTGTCAGAAAGTGCGATGATAGGGCACACAACTGACAGCTGTTGGTTGTCAGAGTTAGGTCTCAGTTTGCTGAATGTCTCAGTAGCCTGTCAGTTTTGTGCCCTATTATCTCATGGTCTCACTCTTTATCGTCTTGTTACATTAGTGGATAGTTGCTGCATAACTCCGTCTCATATTATGTTTCTTCACTGTTTTACATTTATTACTGGCTCAGTATCTGAGTTAAAATGAACGGGAAAAATAAAACCCTCGGCAAAAAACCTCGGCTTCGGCTCGGTTTTTGCCTCGGGGTTTGATCTCCCATAAACACTCAGTCCTCAGCTTATATGTAGTGTGTACAGTTGATAACAAAGGATGGACTCTGATGGAGAGCTAAGGGTTGATTTATACAAAACAAAAATGGACCAAGGAACTACAAGTTAAGCTATAATGTCCACTAACACCACGAGTTACTAAAAAATCAGCTCATGCGATAACATAATTGCACAACACTGACCGATGGTACTGACATTCTACAACTAACTGGCTGACGTTGGCAGCACTGAACTGCGTGGCTGGTACTCTGCGGCTGCTGCAGAAAAAGCGGTACATGCGTTGCTGTTGATCGGATCCGTTTGCAGTGGCGCTTGTGCTGACGCGGTTGGTCGGGGAGGGTTCAGCAGGCTCCCCAACATGCTGACCTCTGACCATTACAAACGACTGTCCGGCTCTATTCACCTGGTCTCCATCATCTGCAGCCCTGGGCAACATAACCCCGCGTGTCGTCCTGGCAACCAAGAAACGGTGCATCTTGGAGCTCCGCACGCAGATTCCATTGCTATCAGGTTCGGCTTCATTTCCTCTGTGCTGCGCTGACGAGTCCACAAAGGACGAAACAGTTCTGTCCGCAGATTGAGTATATAGGGTCCCTAGTTCGATTCCTGGTGGTGACAGTCGATTTTTTCTTCAGATTTTTCCCGTTTGTCTCTTTCCCTCAAAACCAGTTAATATATATTATATATATATGTATAATAGGATTTTCTGGTGACAGTTTAAAAGAGAAAGGGTTGCAACGGGTAGGGGTTTGGTCGGGTAACGGGTTCGGGTATTTTCATCCGGGTAGCACGGGTACCCTATCGGGTATTTTGACACATTATGTG